ATTTTTCAAATCTCTTTTAGAATTATCAGTTCTTAACTCGTTTTTCATATTTGCTGGCAAGTTTTATAGACAGATTGACGGTTTAGGCATGGGACTTCCGCTTGGCCCAACTTTCGCAAATATTTTTATGTGCTTTCACGAGGTTTCTTGGCTGGCCAATTGTCCTCTCGATTTTAAGCCAATATTCTATAACAGATACGTCGATGACACTTTTTTAATCTTCAAACATCCTTCTCATGTCAAACCATTCTTTGATTACGTAAACTCACAACATAATTCTATTAAATTTACAATGGAGCTTGAATCTAACAATAGTTTGTCCTTCCTCGATTGTAATATTACCAAATCTAATGGCCGTTTTCTGACTTCTGTGTACCGAAAACCGACTTTCACCGGCCTAAGTACCAGTTTCTTTAGTTTTTGTTCGTTCCGATTCAAGTTAAATGGGCTTCAAACATTATTACACAGAGGTTTTCGCATTTGTTCCACATACCATGCTATGCACGCCGAATTTGAATTTTTACGCAATAATATTTTCTCGCTTAATGGATTTCCGGTAAGTTTGGTGTTTACTCAAATCAAGAAATTCATGTAGAAGCGATACAGTGAGGTTGCTCCTGAGCGCGATAGTAGGAAAGTTATTTATTGTTCTTTTCCATACTTCGGCCCTGCGTCCGAAGCTATGTCAAGAGAATTAAAAGTCTTGTTCAATAGATACTTCCCAAATGTCAATCTTCATATTGTGCTGGTAAACAATTTCACAATCGGTTTTTTCTTTAGATATAAAGATATGCTCCCTGTTCATATGCGATCGTCCCTGGTTTATCAATATTGTTGTGCACGATGTGCATCTGCGTACGTCGGGATGACGTCTCGTAATCTTTATTCCAGGGTCTCTGAGCATAAGGGCAGGAGTTGTAAAACCGGACAGTTGCTATCGCGCCCACCTCATTCGGCTGTGCGCGCTCACGCCGAGCAGTGTGATGTCCCCGTTTCTGACAGTGACTTTAGGGTGTTAGCTTCCACCTCCGGGACTTACGATTTACGCATTTTAGAATCGCTGTACATCTTTAAACTTAGGCCCAGTTTGAATTCAGCTGCTAGCTCCTATCCCCTTGAAATTGTTAATAGATAGTTTTTTTTTGCTCCGTTAATTACTTGTAAATTTAGGTTTTTAATTCTGGTCTGTGCTTTCAATGTATTAATTTGTGACTTCTGATTTGTGATTCTAGATTCTACGAACTGACGATGGAGTCCAAACGTTTTCTATAAACCAACCAAAACGTTTTCTATAAAGATATGAATTTTTGTGGACTTTTCTTTGCTTTTAAATTCTTAGTTCTTCAATTTGATTCTGTATTCCTTAGCAAATAGTCTTCATGGGCAGATGAAATATATGAAGATATTAGTAAAAATTGAATTCCTGGTTATATCATGGCTGTGTTGAACAGTTGAACTGGTGACAGTAAAATAACAGACTGATTACTACAGTCATCCACTGATGTATGAAGTAAATTCTTTGGAGGAAACAACGTCCTACCCTGAAACCCATAATTCCCCTAAGGTCTTATGTTTAAGCAAAGGAACAACCTCAGAAATTTATTGGATTTGCAAGTAATTATTTTAGATATACTTTCAGTTTATACTTATTTCATTGTGCATTACAGAACCAAACATTTCACTTGGCAAGATCCAAAAAGCTCTGCACATTGTTAAATTCAGAGCAAATTAATTTGGCATCTCTAGTCATGTGTATTTTTTAGGATGAATGCATTTATTCTTTTTTTTTTAATGAACTTTTTAACTGTCTATTAAAGTAATAATTTTATTGTTATTTTTTTATTATAAGCTTTTGTGCTGTTAACTTCTTAATTGGGCTGGAGAAAAATACCAATAGTAACTTATAGGTACTATTTTGTTGTTTGTTATTTTTTTAAATAACATAAATAATTGAACAATAAAAATATTAGATGTAACCACATAGTTGAAATCAGTATTAATTTCATTATGTATAATTTATTCTTATTAATTACAAGAATATACATAAGTAATTTAGTTACATTACTGTTGTGATTAAACTGTGTACAGGAGAAGCCTTACCACAGCGTGGCCCTGAACCTCCCTCACACGAAGCAAGCTCAAACTCTGGTGCTCGGCCAGCTCAGAGCGGCTGTTGAGAGACTCGAAGCTCATGCCAGCACTGCAGTTGTGCCATACTCAGTAACGGGGCTGTCACAGCCTCACCATCTGCTCACTGTACACCAGTTCTTCCTCACTGTTAGTGTACCTACTAACCTCACTATTAGAGGTTCAACCTCACTAACCTAACTTCACTGTACCTACATATTCTCTAGTTCTTCTTCACTGTTAGTGTACCTACTAACTTCAGTGTTAGAGGTTCAACCTCACTAGCCTAACCTCACTGTACCTACATATTCTCTAGTTCTTCCTCACTGTTAGTGTACCTACTAACCTCACTGTTAGAGGTTCAACCTCACTAGCCTAACCTCACTGTACCTACATATACTCTAGTTCTTCCTCACTGTTAGTGCACATACCTACAGATCAGTTCTTCCTCACTGATAGTAATCCAACAGCATATGATCTGTTCAATACCAAATACATATTATATTTCCTGATTTCAAGTTTGCGATGCCCGGCGTAACATTCGGCACATGGCTCGATCTTGTGCGCCAGAAATCATGACCACTGAACTAACTAATCTCTCTATTAGTGCACCTACTTACCTGCTAGTGCACCTACTAACTTTACCGTTATTGCACCTACTAACCTTACTGTTAGTGCACCTACCAACCTCTCTGTTGGTGCACATACTAACCTCAGTGTTGCTGCACCTACTAACCTCTCTGTTACTGCACCTACTAATAGTGCTTTTCGCAAATAGTGCGTTTAACTTGTTCGAATTTGTTCCTTAGATAAATCTTTCATGCAGAAAGTAGCCAGCATTTCTCACCAGTGATATCAACCTTCAATACCTCTTAATTGTCTATTTTACTTACCAAGCATTCATGTTACTTATCAGAAAGTTTAATATTTTTTTACTAATCCCCTCTTAATTATCAATTTCTTTGCTTTCGCATAAAAAGTATATAAGTGCTATCAGTCTTCTATAATATGGAACTGAACTTTGAGTTATTTATGGGAGTAACTTGAGAGTGCTTTGGAAATTACTTTATTGTTTAATGCGACTTATCTGAATTTTGTCGTGTGCTTTCGTACTTGGCTTTTTCAACTCCGTATAACCGTGATATTAGGTACATATAGCCAAGACATTCACAATGAAAGAAAAGAGTTCATTCGTGTGATAACGTTAATTTTTCATCATTATGTTAAGGTTTATCTGTTGCTGCAGGGTGAAGTTGTCATCGCCAAGTCTGCTTTGGCCGCCGCTCGCGTCATCATCAATGAGATGAGGGAGAAGGCTCCCCTGACGCAGCCTGAGATAACCTGGCCACTAGGATCTCATCCTCCTCATCAGCCAGCGACCAGGTGATGTTCTGAAATCATTACATTTATCTCTATAATTGATAACTTATGAATGATGAATTAGCCTAAATATTAAATCAACGATAACAGCCAAAAAATTCATTACTTTTTAGTAAAAGAAAACCTTTGCGAGTCCAACTCAATTGTCAGTTCAAAAACCTAGAACAAGGATGCATCTTGACTCCGAATGAATAAATTTGCCATTTAAGAAATCAAGTGTTCTCTCAATAAATGATAAATAAGGTAATATGTGTCAATTATAAATTAGGCTAATGTTGCTAATTATGAATGAAATATAAACCGATGTCAAGTAGCCAATGAGAACTGGTTGCTCAGATACGACGTCCTGCCGTGGGTGATGTTCAACGCCAGTCACGTGCTGCTGCCAGACCAGTCCCGTAACTCAGCGCCCCTGTCTGGAGCTCTTCTTGAGGACATCACCGTACGCACTTTCTTACGATACTAATTCCAATTCAAATGTATTAACTCGTTATATATTTTTCTTATCAATCGTATTAACGATGTGAGGCAGATTCTCATTAGAAGCGCTAATACAGGTCTGACATTCGTCTGGTCAGTGTTTATGTGAAGTCCTGCTCGTATCCAGTACTTTTTCATCTTATTGAATTCAATAAACTATTTGCGCAAAAATATATATATAAAGAAATAAACAAACTTGCAGAATGTATAGTTATTCCTCAAATGTAACCATGAAACCTTAGTTTCGAAGAGTGTGTGCAACTGCACTACTTTGAGGGCTGAGTCACAGTGCACACAACCTGAATTAATGGGTGAATAAAATCACTGTAACTGTCGTGGCAGAGTGTGGTGTTGGCTGGGTCATCACACATCAGCAACAGGAGCGACGGACGCCTGCTCCTCAAGAGGCTCGAGTACGGACATTACAGGTCAGTAATCAATTTGACTTTGACTCGAAAAGTCATTTATTTATATTAAATGATATCAAACGCGCATTTTTACTTTTATCGGCGTGCTCATAGAAACCAAATTGGTTCATTCATATTGTACATAAGTCATGACCGTTTGAAACACTCGTATTTTATTGGGTCCAGTTCATGTTATTGCTATAAAAAAAAAACACATTTCTTTGACTTGAGCCAATACTGATACGGAATATTGGAGCTCTTGAGTAAATAAATAAATAATTGCTGTTGATTTACTTGTATTGTTTTCCAGAGTTGATCCTGTACGTGGCACTGACTACATTTTGTCTTTGACTTTCCGGGATGGCGCATCTGGGTCTTTGGTGACCAAAATGTGAGTAACAGTGCATTGTTAATAAATATTTCGAGACAAGTCATACAGCTTAATGTTTGTTATGAATCAGAGAATAAGAGGAAATAAATTTGACGTTGCATGCTTAGTGATTAGTGTTCTGTGACATTTGCTTGTATTATTGAATTGAACAAAACTATGAGTTAGGCGTGAGGAATTTTTTTAATTCAATGTTTTCCATTTATCGTCTACAAGTTTTTTTATACAACTTTATTACCTAATTGAGGTATAAAATTTCTCAAGTACCTACGTTTTATGATTTTCTTCGATGATCGCATTATACATGGCAATCTTTTAGACAAATACATAGGGATAGACTTTTCAATCAACATATTCGCATCTATCATTATTAAAAAATCCAACTGCTGTACTGAAATTAGTTACACTGGTTTCCTCACTAATTGTTGTGAATATTATTCAGTATTGTTATTTAAAGAACACTAACATTATGTTCATCATGTATTTTTCCTTCGTGTCTAGCAAGATATTGTGCACGGGAATGGTAAGATGTTACCTCAGCTGCTATAAAGTTTACTTTATAACTGCGTTTGTTTTTGCAGAGTGGAAGCGTCGCGTGGGATCGTCGACACAGAATTTATCCCCATGCCTTTTGTCAACGAGAACACAAAGCTGACGATGGTCGTGCCCGTCACCCCCCAGCTTGTTGAACAAACTTTGCTGTTCATCGCAAGGTGCTGTGGTGTTCGATGTCATTACATGCCAGTGCTGCGAATAATATCTAATATAGAAGTTGACACGCATTTTTTTGGTGTGAATAAAGACTAATCAGTGTTAGGGTTACAATTGCCTCACCTCGCTCTGAAGAAATTCTCCCTTTAGTTCACTTCTCTTCTCCATGTTTCTCGATAATTGAGACAAAATTTCTGTAGCTAACAGTTCCGTTATTATGGACTCACTGTGAGTATAGAACATTACAAACTCTTAATATAGAAAGCCGTTGTCTCAAAACGAGATTTCAGTAAATTGAGTTCTTGATTCTTCAGTCAGTTTCTGCACATCATTATTTTATATAAATTATTTTCATTGATATACAACCCTTGCGTTTGGCTCTTCGCAATTTACTTCATTTTGCTGGGAGTTTAGAATGTCATTTCGTTTATCTTGCCTTCTATCAATTCCATGGAACGCTGCACATGACTTTAGTGCATCTCCATCAAAGCTAATAATGCGAAAAAGTTATATGCTAACCATTGGATGTTGTCGAGCTGCTTAAAGATTTTCAGAGCCTTATTTGTGCATTTGACGGTATCATAGATACTCGAGCGTAAATTCGTGAAATGTAAACTTTTTCATTACGTGTATTCCTATCAATCTCCTAACTTATGTGAGTTGCTGGTCTCCTTGGTAGGATCAAACTGCTTTCCTTGGCTAGATTTTTCCCTGCATGCTGACATCTTTAACACCAAAAAATCCTCACTTTGAGTGCTGAACTTAACTTCAGTTTCTTAACCGATTTCTCAATAGTCCCTTTTTTAGCTTCAACAACATTCGCACGATACGAAATTGAGACAATATTATCTTTTGATAGTTTCTTTTTTATCTACTTAATGAAAATGCTTATGATCGGTTCGCTGACGAAATTGCATTTCACACTCAAATTATGCAAAATTTTTCAAAATGTATGCAAAGATGAGTCGCATACGAATATTTTTCAAGTTCTGGACATATAATATTATAACTTAACTGTGCTTAAGGATGTCTAGCAGTTTACTCAATTTTAAAATTTGTTTATATTTATATCATCTTTTGTAAACTATGGTACATTTGCATCAGTGTTAATTAACAATTCAATAACAATTAATGTTAGTGAGAGACCATCTTCTCATATATTCTATAAACTTTCCAGATTGCTTTGTTTGTGCATCTTGTTTATCGTCACTGCGCATGTCCTCTCTTTACTTCAGGAATATTTGCGTGCACATTTCTCACCTCGACCAAGCTTTGCATGATCGTTGACCTGCGATGTCTTCACCTGCAGGTATTTTGCTCAGGTTGCAGTGCTCTTCTCAAATGGAAGGGGAAATAAAATTTGTAAATTTAATTAATTTTTTGGATTTAAGAAATTCGGGGCATATCTATGTGCACTGAACGTATTAATTAATGTTTCAAGATAATCGAAAAAAGATCAATAATTATCTTTTTAGCGCATTTTCTCATTTATGGAAAAAAAGGCGCTATTGTGCTCGCCATGTCCGTCCGTCTGTCTGTCTGTCTGTCTGTCCGTCCGTGACTTCACGTTTTTGTTGACGAGAAAATGCGCTCTCTGTCACTCACTGCAGTGAGTACTTAGTTATATATTTTTTTTGTGCCTGATGCATGATTGTGTGTACCTGAAAGATTATTATCTAGACCACAGCAAGATCGCATGTGTGCCTATATTTGAGAAGAAACTTATATATGATCTGTAATGTTGAAATAAGATTCCCAAATGTGTGAACCATTCTCATATTTTTATTGATAGCCAACCGCCTATTTATTTGTCTTGCAGAATCTTCTCTGTAATAGGAATATCGTTCAACTTTCTGGGATGTGGTATAAAGGAATGGTTCCTCCATTCTACCTAATTATGTATAACGTTTGTTATGTTGAAAATTTACACGATTCCCTTACGATTGTAACATGCTACTATGTTGCTTGCAATTTGAGTTTATCTTGTGCAGCTTTAAGAAGAACAAAAGCGTTTGGCCGAACTGTTCTCTTTTGCTGGTGCTCATGCAGCCTTCGTCTCGCGAACGCAGAAGTGCATTCGAGGTAAGAAATACTAGAATGCGTGGTAAACATGTCTTACTAAACTCTTGAATGGAGTCTCATTGGTTAGGGGATAAAGTGTTTACAATTAAAAGCATTGTTATATTTTGCACAAACAAACAAAAATGCCAACTTTTTTAGCTAATGTTACTAATGCATTGTTTTCTATCGCTTTTTTCCTAATTTGGTCCAAGGAAAAGATTTTTTGTTGATATTTAAGGCAGTCTTGAAAGCTGTGGACGAAACCTCCACCTCCGACGGCCTCCTGAAGGCGGTGACCGTCGTTACTCCTGCCGCCTCCAGCCACATGACCGAGCTTGTCATCATGGATCAGGTGGTTATGATTGCAAATAGTGATAAGCAGGTAGTGGCGTGGTAGATGATAGTGATAAGCAGGAATTGCAGTGGCTGATGATAGTGAAAAGCAGGTAGTGGCGTTGTAGATGATAGTGATAAGCAGGTATTGCAGTGGCTGATGATGGTGATAAGCAGGTATTGCAGTGGCTGATGATAGTGATAAGCAGGTATTGCAGTGGCAGATGATAGCGATAAGCAGGTAGTGGCGTGGTAGATGATAGTGATAAGCAGGTAGTGGCGTGGCAGATGATAGTGATAGGCAGATAGTGGCGTGGCAGAAGATATTGATAGATCAAATCAATATTGATCAAAGTTACGTCGTATATTTATATTATTGTGCTTTATTGACTAATTTACGTGCATGATTATTATATATCGATACACGAGGGTGCGTGAAGTATAAATTTGTGTCGACACGCAACAACTTGGCACTAATCCATTAGAATTGTTTAAGAATTTTAGTTATATGTATAATATGACCAAACCCTAAATGCATTTTTTTCCTTCAGTTGGTGCGGAAGGTAGCAAGCAAGACTTTGGTGTTCCTAGTACCTCCCGCGGCGACCTTCACTGCAGAGGTGCTCAACAGAGTCCGCATGAACACCATCCAGGGCTGGCAGGTCAGGGGACCTGTTGTTGTTTTTGTAATTGCCGATCCTGGTAGTGGCGAGTTGGGAGGGGGGTGATAGGTAGGTACGCTTTTCAGGGGCAATACCAAGGACAGGTAACTAGTTCTACGACCAGCAATGCCTCGTTGATCCACCAGAAGCATTATTTTCTTCATTACATATTCTTCTGAACAAGCCAGGTGTTACACATTTATCTATCAGACATGGGCGGATGGCTGAGTTAGCCACGAACTGAGCTTCCCTTCTCATTTGTTGTTCAAAAAGAATAGCTGCATGTATATTTCTACCAGCATTATTGCTTGATGAATTGCCAGTACCGGTGCTGCAATATAATATGCCTACCTAAACGCACGATTTCGTTCACCGTTTTTCTAGCCAATGCAGCAAGAAGTCGTGCTCGGAATTCAATTTTTTCCGTATGAGTAAGAATCACAGATATTTTTACTCCTTAGTTTTCCAATATTTTTTTCGTGTTTCCTCTGCATAATGCCTTATTTTCTGCTATATTATTTTCGCCCCGGTTACTCTATATAGATTTTTTCTAACGATTTCGCCTGAAAAACCTTAATTGTATCCGTTAATGCAGCCATCACCCTCATCTGACCAGATGATTTCTATTGCGAATATTTGTTCGCAATTTTATTTTGCGTTCAATCAGAGTTTGTTCAAATTAACATTTTGCATAAAATGTTTTGTATGTATATTTTGCGTTCAATCAGAGTTTGTTTGATGAGCAGTTCTTCAGCCCCGTGATGTACGGACTCTATCACCCCAACGTCGTGGAGGACGCGACGGCCTCCGCCTACACCAGCAGGGAAATAAAAAGTACTTTAGGCCACTATCTCCGCTACGATTATTCTGCCATCAGCTTCTATATGAGCGACTACATTGCAGGTATTTCTACGCTCGATCGTTTAATAAATTCCTACACAGCAGGATAGCTAAATTAGAAACGAGATATTTATTGAAATATGCGTATACTCTTCACATATCTGTTGGACATGCTGTCACTCAGCATAAACATTGTACTTGTTTAAATTAAAACACATATCATCTTAAAGTACAAATCTTCTGCATCGTTTTGCGTGCTAAATTGAGGGTTTGCTCTTACACTAACCCATTTTTCAGCGCGCAAGTTGTCATCCAAACTCTTCCCAATCTTCGGGAGCCAAAGAAGTGCAACTGATCGTTCCTCGCAGCGAGGGTCATATCACATCTCTTTGTACCGCCTCATGATTTCTTTCTCTTCATGTCACGCACTTCGAGCTCCAGAGCCGTTCCTGAGGATGCCGTACGACGAGCGGTCGTCTTGCTGCGTGGCAAGTAAATTGGATACCAACGCGCCTAGTGCATTCGATGGGGCACGTGCTGCTCGCAAATCAAACACAGGCGATCACAACTCCGGTGATGCAGTTATGGTTGTTTCTGATGGCAATGTAGCCCCGGCGGTGCCCGCGAACCGTCTCTTGTCTGACGTGTCATTGCTGCTCGGTGACTGCCGCGAAGAAAATGATGCTGCTTTCTACCATTACGTCAGTGGTAACCTTCTTTTTCAGCTCCAGCCGTCTTACACGAACAATTCGCTGAAGGACTTCAGAGGAGATGGCTTTTGCTACGAAAAATGTCTCGACAGTTTCGGAACTCGCGTGCAGTTAAGTAAATTATTGATGGAATATGACGAGAAGTACGGGAGTTTGTCCAACTAGCTTGGTTCTCTTACCTCCTGGTAATCGTGTCCTATAGCATCTTTGTTCTGATCACCAAGGATTATATTGCACTATGCCCAATACACGTTTGCGGTTGCTCGTGCATTGTGGCATTGTGTAACCCGCTACCGCTTGACAGGAGTAACCAGAGCAATATTGTCACAAGCCTACTTCCCAAAAAAGATACGTTGCTAGCGAGCGCAAAATGACTTTCACTGATGGTTGCCACCACGTACGACAACTTTAAAATGTTCGCTGTTGCGTACTACAAACGTCCTCAGGTAGCTACACTTGATAGTTTACGTATAATTTCATTTGAAAGTCATGTTCCCGGAGAGTGAAATACAGCGGTAGAGGGTTAAGAAATCGAGAAAAAAAAGTGAAAGAACGAGTGTCTTGTTTCGTGTTATTTTAAAAATTTGGTAACAAATAACTACTTGCATGATTGATTTACTGAGGTAAGTTTCGCTGCTGCTACCAAGATAATCGCGCGTCGTGCAAGATTTTTGCAATCATATGCCAAACATACGTACAAGCGATAGTATAAGAGTGAATAGTTATTGTAATTCCAGTAATATTTTTCGTCCTCGGTAAATAGAGAGAGGAAATGAACATGTGATTATAGTGTCAGTATTTTAGGCGGTAGCACTTTGCAAAATACTCGTTTGAAACCCCGTAAATATACTAAGGCAAATTGTTCAGGATCCTGTGATATGAATTAAGTGGAGCGTCTGGCCAAAATTTTTGAATTTTGGCTTTTCCGGTTTTTAGTCTCATCTTGAAGCTGGCATTCTGCTCTATCCAACGGTACCAAAATCATCTCTGTACGTTGATTTATGCGTTCACGACAGATCGCGAAAGGGTGGGGAGGGGAGTTCTTTCACATTTAAGATAGGCGGAAATTCCCGGTAGCATACTTAAGGATATCGTCTAGGTACAAAGGTCGAAATTTTGGCTTTTCCGGTTTTTAGGCTCATCTTAAAGCTTACTTTCTGACGCATCAAACGGTACTAGAACCATCTCTGTACGTTGATTTATGCATTCGCAACAGATCCCGTAATGAGGGGAGGTGTCCGTACCTCTTCAGTAAAGTTAAGGTGGAAATTACCCGGCCGGGCACCATAAAGAGGATCGTCTGATGTAAAGCGGCCAATTATGACATTCTCCAGTTCTTATACTCATCTTGAAGCTTACATTCTGCCGCATCGAACGGTACTAGAACCATCTCTGTACGTTGATTTATGCGTTCACGACAGATCCCGTAAGGGGGAAGGGTATGGGGGGCCTTCAGTAATTCCAAAGGGGGAAATTAACTATAAAACCCTCGCAAATTAACTATAAAACTCTTCACTCGGGTAGAGCTCAGTAATCTCACAGACAGCGCGCGGGATGGTGTTCATTTAGTCATTTTTAGTGGCTCCATGCACCGATGACTGACTTTGAAGTGAGTTGATGCTTATTTTTGGTATCTAGGCTACGTTAAGTTTCTTAACGTGCCGCGCGGCGTTTTTTTTTTTTTTTGCCTCTACTGAAATGTTGCCAAAGCTGAAAACCTCACTCACGTCAATCCTATCTCCTACAGTTTTGAAGCTACATCAATGAGACATATACCATTCGATTTGGAAAGGAAAATCTACAAACGTCACATGGTGGTTTTTTCCAATTTCGTTAAGGTTCGGATTTTATTTTGCAAAAAGTGGGAGATGGCGATGGAAAAATCGAAAAATATCCGAAAAAATGCTCCCACACCCACAAAAATGAGAAATCAAAAAACCGCCAACTGACGTTTTACATATGGTCTTTACGCATCGAATGATATATGTCTCGATGTTGTAGCTTGAAAATCCTAGAAGATAGGATTTCTAAAGTACCCCTTTTTTGGCCGTTTTCTAAAAATTTCACTTTTTCTTTAATTTTTTTTCCGGTAAATTCACACGAAAAAAAGTCTTAAAAATCTGTTTTACATACGTGTACCAAATTTCGAATCGATCCGTCTGTAAATTACCGAGATAAAGTATTCTCTAGAAGCTCCCCTTAAATAGCTTTTTGAAAAACGCTACCGAATTTTGAAAACGAAAAACTAAACTAATTTTGAAAAACGCTACCATAAATCGATAGATATGGTCTTTACGCATCGAATGATATGCGTCTCAATGTTGTAGCTTGAAGATCCTAGGAAAAATTGGACATGAATAAAAGCTGTCTATTTTTTCGGTTTTACAATGGTGAACCAAGTTTCAAACAGCCGAGAAAAAACGTGGCCAGACGCTCCCCTTAACGTATCACGTTTGGTATGATAAAGAAAAACGCGTTTATTACCTTACACGTTTGCAAATTTCAAACTATTAGACGGCAGCTGTTATCAAAATGTGAGATTATCCCGTTCGAGCTGACATACGCGGTAGAGTTGATTTTATATCCCTATTTAGTCTCTTCTATGAAAGTAAATAGTAATGATTATATGTAAGCATCTCTTATTTTTCAGGTATGTACAAGTTTCATTATCAGGCTTTAAATAACATAAGGTTTTTATCTTCACCGCCTTCCATTTCAGCTGGTTCTTAACAAATATTAACTAACAGAACTAATATTTATACAATCTGTAATTGTAGAGTGTAATTGTAATAACTTTACCAAAATTAAAATTTCCATTTGACATCATACATTGCCAAAATGGGTGCATAATACCGATTTATCATTCTCACAAAACGTGCTTGCCACCTATTTTGTAATACAGATAGAATGTGAATGAATTTCTGATTAATTCTTGCTATTGGTCGAATGAAATCAATTATATTTTCAAGCGCAATTTCTTCTCTTGTAACCTTACCTAATTGTTCAATTTTCCTTCATTAAAAATAGAAGCTGAAAAATAAAATTGAATTATTTAGGATGGCAGTGCGAGATTCTCTATCTTATCGCAGTGTTCAAAAATTATACATATATCTTTTTGATCGTTAAGTAAGTGAAAAATAAAATAAATAACATGGCTATCCGAGCAACGATTTCCCCGTGGCCACACGCTACTTGTTGAAGCTGCAAGCCAGTCGTCGCGTGGGCTTTTTGTAGGTAGCAGACGCTGAACTGGACGGCAAGTTTCCTGGCGTTGGTTCACATGGTCTTCCTTCTGCGCGTTCATCATTGCTCCGCTGGTGATGGGACGGTTGTTCGGTACTCCTAATATTAGACGAAGTTTTGCGCTCCGGTTCCTCACAACCAGTTGCTGGGTTACTCGAGAGTGAAGGAGACTTCTCCTTGGGCGCTTTAAAAGCTCCTTTCTTCATGACCTGCGTAGGCATGAACGGAGAACCGCTTGCTGATTTACTGTCCACCCAAGAATGGTTAGACCTGTCGCTTGGGAGAGTTGAATCCTGCACACATGATTTCATAGATTACTCGTGATCAATGTCTTCGGGATACAACAAAAGTGCTGTGACTTAAATTCCATTTTTGCACATTACAAATTAGATATTTGGAATAATTGTACTGAATATACTTATGTAATAAAATATACAAGAAATTGTATGGCAGTCTAGAGGGCAGTGATTAAGAATAAGCACTCTACGACTAAACAAACATTTGAAACATTGGTACCTGGGGGAAGATGATCTTATTCCTAGCAACATCGAGGACGCGATCAAAGAGATGTGGTGGAACTTTCCCATTGGCGTTGCCTGAGCAAAGGACTTGGCCAGCCGGCAGTACCAAGAATTTTACACCTGCGCAATGAAGTATTTAGATAAGTAGGTGATCACATTAATTCGATCAAATTAGAGCAAAGAGGTTTCGATTATTTAGCAATTGAAAAGGCATATTCTACTCACCCTCAGCTAAGCACTCCGCTACGTCAAAGTAGATGATGATTTCAAATCCTCTGTCTGATGGCCTGGCTTTAGGACTCACTAGAGGATCGTATGCCAGACACGGGAAATGCTGAGAGCTGCCTCTGTTGAGACCATACTGTCTTATGACGCTCCACCGGTTAAAGTAAGTACCGTAAACTATGCATTCCACTTCGCTAGCGTGTCTCACTTCCATTACTCCACCTCGGGAAGCTGGAACGCCTCCACCACCTTGATAACCTCCCGGCCAGAACTGCCCAGCGTTCTGGGGTCTATAAGATCCACTTTGTGATGGATAAGCGGGTCGTTGCGCTATCTTAGTCTGAGGATGTATTGGTCGATGATGATGCTGTTGCTGATTAACCTGATGATTATTTGGGGTGTTGAAGGCAGTCTTGTTAACATATTGCTGACTAGGAATGAAATTGCTAGTCGTGTTCTGCAATTTCGGTGACCCACGAACAGCAGGGCTTCGATAGTCGCCCGACGTCTTTTTTACCTCTGGCTGTGGTAGTAGAGCCTGCATGAGCCTATCGCCAGGGGAAGATTTTCTTGCGTCATCCTGTTTGCCTTTAGTGAAGAAAGATGGACTTGGTAGCTCCGCTGCATCAGGTGGCTGCTGTTGCTGTTGCTCGGGTTGAGCAACATGATTATTTTGAGCACCAGGTGACGATGACGAGCCATGTGATACTGTTGAAGAATTTTCATTTCCTTTTTCTTCATTAGATTGCCTCCAAGTTTCTTGCTTTCTTTTTAACAGAATTTCTTTATCTTTCACTGAAAAAGCTGTCTTTTCATTTGATTTGATGGATGCTGCTAATGTATGGTAATCCCTATTGGTATTCCGGGTGTTGTGGTGGCTTGGTCTTTGGTTGTCCGGTAAGCTGCGGTCTTGTCTGCCGTTTCCCGTGAAATTGTTCACATCCGATTTACTATATTTGCTATCATGGCTGTAATTGCCACTGGACGGCTTCCAGGCGTCAGAATAGCCACGGCTGTTTTCCGTTTGTCTTCGTTCACTGGAGTAGTTCGCCCCATGGTTGATCGAATAGTCGTTGTGCTGAGAGGATCGTCCGGCAGATGCCCAGCACTGCTGAAACTGATCTGGCACTCCAGTTCTGCCGCGAGACTCGGGCACAGATTGTTTTTGCCTGTTAGATTGCTGAAAAGGGAAAAATAAATTAATCGTATAAAGAAACTAATATACAGCAAATATGCAGATAGCTGGAATATTAGAAATGAATTACTTTGCAGAAATAAACTAAAATACGGTAAATGCGCCTGCAAACAAAATGACGGTATTCATAAAAATCAACGCATAAAAACAACGAGCAGTACATTTGGAGAAGAAAAATTCTGTATTATTGAGAATAATATATCGCAACACTGGCATCGCCGTGCGTATTCGAACGTACATTGGTGGCAGGTCTGCCCTTGGATGAGAGGTTGATGAAGGCTGACCAGCAAAGTCTGTAGCAGCATTTAGCAGACGCTGGGCCCGCTAAAGTGAGGCCTCCAGGAAAAGGTTCGTCAAAAAGAATGTCATAAAGAACATCGGCGCGCTCGGGAGCTGGTTGAATACCTGCCATAGAATAAAAAAAAATCCGTTAAAAATTAATTATTGGAAGCTCGATAATCTTCCAATGCCCATGGTTTTAATGACGTTTATAACCACGTAAGATCATTGCACATATATAATAGACTAAATTTTCAGAAAAATTTGCAATGAATACGACATAAAATATCATTTATAATATTTCGGTAGTCGAGAAATTCACGGGTCGTTGACAAATGGTCAACAGATGATATCATGTACCAAAATTACCTATGACCGTGCCACGGGCCGCCAGAGGGACCATGTAGCCATCCCTGACGTTGATGACGCGGTCCCACAATTCCGTCTTCACTGGGCCGTCTACTGGAGTGCTACCTTGCAGCGGATTTGGCTGTTAACATAAAATAGAACGGTTGAAGTGACGAATGAAGTCGATAAACGTGATAACTTTCAACAAATAATCATAGTTAGGATTAGGACATTCTCTAGATTCTAGATCGAAAATCCTTCCATCGTTTCGAGACAATAAATAATTTTTGGATCTCAGACATTAAGCAAAATTTCATGCCCATTTGACGATGTCATTCGCAAGCTTTAGTTAACATGTTTTTTTTTTGGTTAATTTTTTTTCAAAGAAATGTTTCATTACCTTGAAAAGAAGATGGGCTTTGACCTGCATCTTGACAGGTTGTGAGAGCTGCATTTTAGTCGAGTTGTCGATCTCGTACTTGAGCTTAGCCACTGTCTCGTCCGACAGCAACTCTGTGCCCCACTTTTGCTTCACGCTGCGTGCGCCCTCGGTCGTTTTCAGGAAATCCAAAAGTGATTTCAATTCTGCGTCCCTGAGGAACAAGAAAAAACGCTAGAGGTCATTTTGATATACCCTACAATGAAATCGTGTTATTAATTTAGACTTGCTGTGAATGAGCAGTGTCTGCCACAATGAAACAAACAATGACTTAACATCACTGACCACAAACTGCCTTCATTATATTGATAGTAAGATAAAAAAAAGTGGTTCAAATCTTGCTCGAGCTAACCCGTTGGGACCCGGGAAAATTTCCTGCTGAGTGACGTCATTGCGAGTCTTGCTGACGACCTCGATGACGCGAGGGAACTTCCTGCGATAAACATCCAGCAGCTCCAGAGTCTCTTCCGTGTACCACCACACGTCTTCGCTGTCACGGTGACTATAGCCTCGCACCTTCAGACATAATACCAGTTAGCCAGTTAATTGAATTTACAGAACTTAGATAATACATACCCTTTAAGCAAGGTTGTTCGGGGGCTAAGATCAAATAATGCAAGGTCCATCTATACTCATGACCGCGGATATAATTGCTCTTATCAAATTTTCACAAAGAGGACAAATTTACTGTCAAACAGCGAAATAAGTCGCCAATTAAGACCTTGCCTTACCTCTTCCATCTTTTTGTTGATCCGTAGGTTGAGTCCAATGTTGATCTTAGACCTAAAGTCGTCAGAAGCAGGGGCTGGCTTATTTGGATCCTTATTAGGGGTCATTAGCACCGAACCAGTGATACGAACGACGAGTTGCTGCGACACACCAAGCCGCTGGCCCAGCTCGTACGCTGTCAACATAAGAAGTTACCAGAAAAACGTAATGATAACCTTAAAATTTGTAGTAAATACATTCATTGAAATGAGTGTAAAACACATCATCGTTACTTCTAACACAAGGCAGTGTTCGGCTAAAAGCACAGCAAATGAGGCTTAGATATATTTTACAATTCGATAAATATTTGACTCAAATAGACGGGAAGTATGAACTCAAATGCAAGATGATGATCCCAAAGGTTTCATAAGCCAAGTACATTTCTCACCGTCCATATATCTGCGTTCGTGGATCGAAGTCTTCTTCAGGAGGGATAAGTCAGGCTCGCGTCGCGACTCGATTTGAACCCGAACTCTGCCTTGACTTTTAGGATCAGCTTTGCTGCTAGGCAAGTTCTCCAGCACCTAGGAAAGGCTTCACTGAGTGGATAAATTCTAATTCCTAGAGATAACCCCTTGCTTTAATATGAAAGAATGATCTTGCTTCGAAGAGTAATTGCAGGTTCCATAAACAACTGAATCCCCCAGGAGGCAATCAGATGCACAGAAATGAAAGCTTGAAGCTTCTCGGCTTGTGTTCTCCATAATTTAAAAAGTTAAAGTATTTGGGTTAAATATTTGTGAAAGATTGTCAAAACGCCAGTCAGCGATTGAGAAACTAAATTTTTACGACTTTAGCAGCTAGAGATGACATTCAAAATAAAAACGGAACGAGTGCCGACGTACAGTGCCACAAGAACCGTAATGCGGTTGTCCAAGCATGAAGACTTTAGTGCCGACGGGGAAGTGTTGCTCAAGACTGCACGTTTTGGGATGGCCTGGGTCGAAGACCGCAATGTCCCGCACCAGCGTCTGTGCGAGATACGGCTGCGGAATCGGCGACCATTCGTAGCTTAGTGACAATCCACCCGATTGGTTTAGCACGTAACTGAAAAAAATATAAGAGGTTGCTCGTAACTGCTCGCAAGAAATAGTCCGAAATTACTGACAGGTAATGTAAAAGCCTTTGGAAATTGATTGTATGTAAGATAAAAAGTCTGAAACTGACCACGAGTAATGAAAAGGCCTTTTGTAACTCATCACATGCATGAGGGCAACAAACGAAAAAGAGCTGATGAGTACTTTTATTGCATGCATTCCCTAAACATTAATAAAAAGCCCCGAAATATTTTATAAGCTTGGTTCATGCGCAAAGACTTCAATAGTTTCAATGTAAATGCTATCGGCCATTTAAAGTGGTCATGAAAATTACGCACACAATTGTTGAACTCGCACATCTGCACTATTGAGGACACCGCACATCTACACTATTGTCTACATCATACATCTACACTATTGTGGATACTACACATCTACACTGTAGAGGACCTCGCGCATTTTCACTCTTATCGACATCACACATCTACCTACCCTACTGTATAAATCACATATCTACACCATTGTTGACCAAGCACGTCTACATTATAGGTAGTTGATCTTGCACATCTATACTTTGCACACGTCACAAAACTCACCGTTTGCCAGTCATAGGTTTGCAGAGAACAATGAGGGTTGAGTCGCTGGCGTCAATACCCCATCTGTTGAGTAGGTGGGAGCTCAGGCCTTTAGAACTTGCCCCAAAACTAATCTGTGTTCTACGCTGCTCATTTTCACTAACATTTTCAATTTCCCCCACAGCAGATGAATTGGGCTGAACGCTAACTCTGAACAGGCTGCTGCACAAGCCGACCACCTGCACGTTAGGAAAGATTTGTAAAATTAAAAACTTATTCTAATTTATGAAAGCGTTTGAAATGCAAAGATGTTCACATAAAAGTCAGGACATCATTAATGCATCAATAGCCAACATAAATAAATCAATCTCTACACAAGCAAAACTTAGAGCAAGTAATGGTAAACCGATTACTTTAGACAAAGTCAAGTTTTTTATAATCTGAAGAAACAAGACACTGAGACTAAAAATCCGATAACTATTGAATCCAGGTACGTAAAAGTTTATTCGCAAAATAGTTCAGTAAATACATTCCATACATGTCAAAAAACAACAGTTTGGAAAATGGTCCAGTGGAGGCCAACAAACTATCGTTTGCAAAAAAAAATTCAAACGCACCAGTGCTTCTTTGAGATGCGGCCAGCCAACAAAGACGATTTTGTTCATGAGCTCCTGGGTCATCTTCTGGAACCCTTGAAAACCCAATTACTAAATGAGAACATCGTTATTGAACAGCACGTGGGAAGTTCCATCAACATTATTGATCATATGAACGTACAGTTAATTTTTATTGATAAAAAAAAAAACAGAAGTTCAAGGAATTGAAACTCTGAAAATATAACATCAGGACTATAACGACATTTTGCAGTCAATGGTGGAGCCCAGTAAGCTTACAATCACGGTTAGGGTCCGGGCAGGAGAAGGTGTCTGGCAATTCAAGAATGATGCTGCTGTTGCGACTGGCTTGTTGGAATACCTTAACAGCAGCTGACTCCAGACGGTACTGAAGTAAAAAACAATTATATACCTGATAGGATCTTAAGAATATTTACCAAGCAATTCCCAATGTAAGACTCGTCAAAGACACCAATTAAAGGACAACACATTAGATAATTTAACCAACAGGTACGTTCATGAAGAACAAATAAGCATGTGTGTGGCAAATGAATTGAAAAGACAAGAACCGAGACATTTTTACACCTAGAGTTTTAGGCAGAGAAAAAGTTTCATCAGCAATTAACCGTGTGCTTGACGTGCTTGAGTGTGGGGAAGCCTCTGAAGTAAAGTTCAGTCTGGGCACCAGGGCAAAGCCCTTTGCGGATGTCCTCCTTTGCGATGTCCCACTCCTCTCGGAAAACCAAGTCACACTTGGCGTGGTTAATGCAAATGTTCGGGAAATACTCAGGACTCTGCAACACAAAACATTAAAATATTAGAAACATGACACTGTTAACACAGACTTTCGAGAATCTCTTTTGAAACTAAGAAGTAAATAAATTAAATTATGCAATCAGAAATCCATATCATGCATGAGAAAGAAACCGAGGAAGAAATTCTCACGAGTTTTAAAAAGCAAGCAAGATTGGACCGCCGAAGATGTGACCAAACAGCTGAGAGTGCATATTGAACAACGGCAATTGGCTTGAAAAGTCATAGTTAACTTACTAATGCATGTATAAAAACTTTCATGTAGATAAAAATTAGCGCTGCATTTTTAACAGAGAAAAAAACGTAGAAGTGCAAAACACAGCATCCCAGTCACTATCCCAACAGGTGGGATACACAGTTGTAAAACAATTTTATACTATAACAGCATGTCTTATACTGAAATGCTTCTGAGTATGAAGCTGGCAGAGCCGACAATACGGGGCGAAAAATTTTTCAATTGAACATGGCTGGTCAAAATGCAAAAATTAGCCCACGAATGCTTGTAAATGATACTGCCGTGCAAACTCATATCCATTAAAACATAACCTCAGCCTGCTCTAGAAGCACCAATGACACATTGATTGCTGTACTCGATTTACTCACTTTCCCAATCGTTGGTGAAATGTTCCTGTCCTGCATTAATATGGCAAAAACGTGAACCAACCTCATAAGTGCCAAGGTTGTCGGGCGTGAAGCTGTAGACATACATCGGTCCGTGGGCAGTGCGTCGTCGCTCGTCTTCGGTGAGACGATGGCTTTCCTTAGACATGGCCTCCAGCAGACGCTTCTCGTCAATAAATGGGATCAGTACCACAGCTTCCCAGTCCTGAGAAGAAGAATTTGCTTATTTAAAATATTACACGGTAAAATTATTAGTATAACTCAGTCAGGTAACCTTCATTTTTCAAATATATTATTATTTCAAATATATTATTAAATTATTCAAAATAACCTTATTAAAAATATTACACGGTAATATTATTAGTATCATTCAGTCACTAGTAACCTTCAACATTCAGCGGAATGTCAAATTGATTGAGTATATACATCTTTGATCTTGCAGTGATTATAATTCTCTTAGTCAACATGGCGTGCTGAGTGCAAAGTATAACAATAGGCGTAGCATGTTAGTTAATTCATTGTGTTCAAATTACCATAAATTACGGTTAATTTATTTGCATTTTTACGATTGTAACACAAACAAGACAAGCACAATAGCTGACCTGCTGTTTGCCATTAAGGTCCGTCTCGAAGGTACGAGGGTAGAAGTCGATGACAGGTGAGTCTGGGCTTAGCATGAGATTAGCGTAGCACTTAGGCAGCAGCTTGACACTGAGAGGTGGCAGGACGCCCAGCAGCTGTTCAAACGGCATGAAGGCTTTGCTTAGTTCGAAGTCCATTGGGCACTGCGCGAAATTCTTGATGTCGGAAATGTAAGGCGCGTAATGGAATGGGTAATACCAAGACCACGACTGAATACCGTTGTAGTAGTAATGCAAAATCCATTGCAGTCCTCTTACGTAGTTAATGGCCTGCTCGCGGCATATGTCAGCGAATTTTTCGTGGTCCTTGTAACCCATTTTCTCCATGTAATAGTTTCGCTTATGCTGACGAAATTCTTCTGCAAGGTCGTCAACTTCTTCATCCTCTTCGTCGTCATCTTCGGTCATCAATTGAGGATCACGAATCCCCAGCCTCAGAAGAGTCTCTTCTGTCGTCTCATTTTTCTTGTCATCATGAAGAGACGCGCCGGAGAGTCCTCCTAACAAGCCATCCATGTCATCCTCTCCATCGAGCTCTCCTTCATCATAAAAATTCTGGAGCTCATCTTTGACGCGAATGTCTTTGCATGCACCGCCACTTCTTTTACTATTGAAGTATTGCAAATCAGCGTTTAGATCGCTGAAATTCTCGCGATCGTACTCCGCCAGCTTTGCCATGAACTTCTCAAATCTTGCCAGGTTAAGAGTGCCTCCTTCATTGAGGTATCCGTCCAGCTCTGGCATGACGCTCTTGTAAGTGTTGAAGAGTACAGAGAATGCATCCTTGTTGATATGTAACGTAGGCAAATGTGGGATAAAATCGTTACCCACAAGGAATCCCATGAAAACCCAGTCATCAATAATTTTTTCCAGGTCGTACTTGAATGAGAGATTGTCAGTTATGTCTTTGAATTCATAGTCAATGTACTGCCGCAGGAGACTTAAATGCAGCAAGTGGAAGGTGGTTTCTTCTGCCGTTGTTGTGCGTTTTGTTGCTTCCTTGCGACCACCAAATTTCACCTGAGAGCAATTTGAAAATACTTTCAGAAAACGAAAAAAAACTGCAGCCATAAACAATGAAATTGTAATGTGATAATTTTATACTTTATTCTATTTACATGATACTTGAATTAAGCTTGTTAACTTAAGCTTGTAAAATGTAAGAACTAAAACTGAACTGTTAATCAGGAACAGCATATCTGAAATAATTTGGTAAGTGATTGCTTGACGATAGTGTCGTACATCTTATTGTGAATTTAATTTACCGTGAATAAATGCAGGGTTAAAGTCATGTAATACCAGGACTAGCATGAAGCATGTGATGTGTACACTCACCTCTTCCCTGAGCAGAGCAAAGTGAGGATCATGAGAGGTGAGGCCGAGCATGATGAGGTCAGCATCGAGGCCGTAGAGGCAGTGACGCGTGTCAGGATTGTAGCCTGGCTGGCTGCGGTGATACCTGATGTACTCCATGATTTTGTGCTCCCCTTCGCCTGGAGTCTGCAACAAAGAAGATATTCAATCATGGCGATTTAGGAGTTCATTGCAAGATAATGGGTAGAGTGAGTGGCACAATATGCTACGAGTTAGGAGCACAATTCTAAATTACAGGTACAATTAGGGCACAATATGCTACAAGTTTGGAGCACAATTTAATGGAGGAAAAAAAATTCAAAATTTGCACTGCAAATGTGGGTAGAAATATTGAATGATATCAATGTGGAAAGCAAGCAATATAAGAGATTTTATCTCACAGGAAATTTCAGCATTATCATTGACAGAACCCGTCCCACTCCAAAAGTTAATTTAAAAAGGTTTCAACAAACATATGGTGGGTATGAACAAATGTTTCAAGTCTATCATACAGAGAAATTAAATTGATATACTTCTAACCTGATGTCCAGAATAGATGACTGTACACGACTGCCACGAGGAATCAGTTGAGATCTTTGAGGTGACAAAATACTGGAGTTGTTTGTCAAGGCGATCCATGAACTCCGTGCCAGGAGTGATGCAGTTAGAATCGAAGCGCTCCTCTGAAGGCAGAATTTCTCCCTTGGCTCTGGCTCGGGTCTCACTCTCTTCTGCTTCTCTGGCTGAGCGAAACCTGCACCAAGCATACCAGTATATAAAACGAAATAAAAAATTGAATTACCTAATTTTATTCAGCATTCATGATAATAGCTGGAATTAAATTCTAATAGCAGAACATATTGATCAGAGAGTGAATATCACAGCAAGTAATATATTATAATTCACCATTTTCTCTACTCACACATATAAAGTTAATGAATAATATTAATAAGCAGAGAAAACAAGTGCTGCAGAGCATCAATAGTGAATAGCTCCATTTCAATATATAGAACCTACTTAGAGTACAATAAACAGAATGAATTCCAGGTCCCTTTAATCATACCTCCTTCCTCTTTGCTGGTTCATCTTGGCCCTAGGAGCCACACCATCAACAGCCATGAAGAACACTTTCTTGGGTCTGATCATGCAGAACAGAGCCTGTAAAGAAAGCCAGTTTAGAAAATATTTAGCAAAATACTAAAATATAAAAATGATTTCTAAAAAACTCGAAATTGAAGCAAACTCCCTTGGGTCTGATCATGCAGAAAAGAGCCTGTAAAGAAAGTCATTTTTGAAAATATTTAGCAAAATACAAAAATATAGAAATGATTTTTAAAAAACTCTAAATTAAAGCACACTCCCTAGGGTCTGATCACGCAGAAAAGAGCCTGGAAATGATGGCAGTGTTGAAAATTTTGGGGTATGATGCAAAAGCAGAGCAATGATTCATGAAAATTTTAAATTATATCATCATTTATATGCTTGTACATACCTCAATATAATGAAATACATCTTTGAATATCTGTTCCTCAGTAATCCTGAAATGAGGATCTGCATCATTTGGATGGGAGCATGTGTGGATGATGCCATTCATATCCAAGTAAAGGTTGTCAAAATCAGGAATCTGTAAGTAGATAATCCATTTCATAAATAATTCAGTGGAAAATATTTGCAGCTCAGGTTATACTAAAAACTTTACTGGTATTGTAAAAAGAAAAATGCAATTAACTTATCACATATTAACTGTGAAAAGTGGCAGATATATATTCATATTTTGATGATAGACAAGTACAAAATAAATCACTGAATAGAGGATTAAACAATTTTTAAATTATAATCTCTATTATATATTGCAAATTCTATTCATTTCAGCTGAAAGTTAACCAACCTGATGGTCTCTGACAACCTCACTAAGGGTTGGATATCTCTCACTGATCCATCTGTAAAACTTTGGAACACCCATTTTATCCAAATTATCAAAAACCTGAAATGGAATAAATATTTTAAAATAATCATCTATCGATAAATGTATATATTTCAACAGTGGACATTCCATAAACAATAAAGTTAAGGATTGGAAATATATTTTAACCATACATGGTTAAAGTCATCCGAGAGCCTGATAACAAGTAAGTTTTGGTAGACTGAGTGTTAAAGAAAAACAATGATTGAAGTCTGGTCTGTTAGCAGGACATATTACCCTATATAATTACCTACTGTCTGCAAAACCAGAATAATATCAGTAGCTAATCCTGGTCTCTTATACACATCTAGATGTGTATAAGAGACAGNTATAACTGCCCATGAAAACCAGTGAAATTATGGACCCAACTTCCAAGTCCCAACATCCCAAGCAACTGTCATTTAAGAGCAACAACAAGTCAACCAGCTTGAATTATGAATAGTTATAAAAGATAAGTTGAACCATGGTGGCAATTAACAAACAAGAAACAGTTTAGGCTAGTTGTCAGCTTATTTTTAATTCCCTGATGATTTGATCTACACAAAAATTAGTACATTTAACAGCTTATGTATGAATTATAGTTACAAACCACAGATTTTCAGGAATCAGTTCATTTTTAATTTCCTTATTTTGAAGTTGTTTACCAAGGTTCTAAATGAATTTCTTGTGTATGGAAATGCTTGTATCCACTTACATTGCACTTTACTCTTACTGGTCTACTGACTCTAGGTACTTATAACTTATGGCCCTCAAAAGTCAAAATTGAACTTTCAGAAGAAATGAACTTGCAATGAAATGAATGAAATGAGCTCTAATTCAAAATAGATTTTCACATTGGCAAATTTTTGTGAATCTGATTAGTGATTACAATGATAAGTTTGAAAGTCAACTATTAACCCTTTCGTGAGTGACGGGACTGTGACGTCCAACTCAATGTTTTACTACATAACTTGCATACAGCATACCTTTCGAGGCATAGCTAACTACAGGGACACATGAGTAACACTCCTGCGCCTATGTCAACTCAAAAATAATTGACTGGCGGGACTGTGACGTCCCGCCCAACGATTTACTCTATAACTTGCATGTAGCACTAAATTCAAGGCATAGCTAACTACAGGGACATATGAGAAACACTCCTGCACCTACATATGTCCAATCTAAAGGAATATTAATATTTGTTCTTTTTGGGATATGTTATTATATAAGCTATTACATCTGCTTGCCAAAGGAAGTTTGTGATATTATTCAACTACTAACAAAAAATATTGCGAAAATGTATTTTTTATCAAAATCAATGATGTCGCAAATTGTGTTACCTCAGTTGGAACCGTATACTACCGTCAAACGGGGTAAAAAGGGACGGTTTTGAGAGTTTTTTGTTAATAACTTCTTACCATGAAGCATTTCAGAAACAAGTTTAGACTCATTTTATAGCTCTTTGTGAGGGCTATCCAATGGCAACTTCAAAAAAAATTCCATATGCTATTCATAAGGTGCCAGATGCAAAATTAAACCGTCCCAATTTACCCCTGGGAATGGGGTAATCCGGGACACTTGCAATACAAGTTAATTTTAAAACGTTTGAAGCATGCAGAGTGTACTCATCCATTACTAACAGTACTTTGAAGTCCTCCTCTTCCATTGTAGATGATGTAGATG